AATGTGAGGATTACTTAGGAAGTATCAATTGAAGAATGAAAGATTCAGAACTCAAAAAGCATTTAATATCTTCTTATGCTTCAAACAGAAAAACACTGTTAGGAAAAAGCATTTCACTAGCTACACTGATGCAGAATTCCAGTGAGATGGGTATTTATTTCACTCTCACACAGGAAGAGATTCTATTTTTCTGTCCTACCTGGAATACAATTGTGCTCCACATGGGTAAGATTCCCCACAACCAAACTAAATGTATAAAATGTCGAGTTCAGCTTCAAAATCTGCTACACAGTGTATGTGTGTAGTCCTATAACATTGCCAGTCCATCAGACTTTGGAATACTATTGCTCATGAGTTCACTGAGACATAAATGTTGAGAGTCTAGAAAAAAATACAGCGAACAAATTATAAGGAAGAAAAAAATCAATCCCTGGACTGACCTGGGAAAAAAGGCGCTAAAATTAACCCTTTACAAGATAGCACAGGAACTAATTTACCAAGGATCATTTCTCCGCCCTGACTTACACAGGTGGAAAACAATAGACTCAATCCCTCAGGAGAAGTTTCCCACTCTTCCACTCCTTTGGGGGTAAAAGTGTTGGGTACTGACCACAAAAGTCATGAGTGTGGATCTCTGCAGCACACGGCTCGCAGCAGAACAGCTGCTATGATGTTGGAAGGAGGCTGCCTCCTGTACAGAGGACGGGTTCTGCCCAATTGCAAGAGTCTGACACTTTCTGTAGTTAGAAGTCGTAAGCACACCACGGACTGGCCACATGAGTTTCTCCTGTCTGGGAAAAGGCTTTAATTGAGAACAGTGCTTCTTGAACCTGAATATGCATGTGACTCACCTGGGACTTGGGACAGATTTGAATTCATCAGGTCTGGCCTTACCCACAATCCTGCTAGTTGTGGTTCCTCTGGGACTAGACTGCAAGTAATGAGGATTTAAACTTGCTGGTTTCTCCTGTTGTGAGAATGTGAAATGATGGTGGAGAAATAGTTTCGTAAATGTGACAGTTGTTAGGAGACAGTTTTCCATGAGTTCCAAAGTGACTATGTGTAAAGGAGCAAGAGGTTGCTAAGAGAGGCTGTAGAAGCATCCCGTCTTCCAAAACCCCAATGAGTCAGCCTCTTATAACCTCGATACCTTGTTTTACAATAAAATGAACTTGAACACGTCACAAAAATTTAAGAAAGATCAGTTTTTGTGACATAGAAAAGAGACAGATATCCTCAGTGCTCCCATGGAAGGGCAGGATTCATCCCAATGCTTCTATACAAAGTGACAGAGGACTTCTCATTTATTGAGTTACTTGTTCATTTATTCAATCAAGTTTCATTAAATTAAAACCACCCAGAATCCCACTACCCAGGGACATCCACTGCCGGCCTTTCCTATTTACAGAAAGTCAATTCAGGTGGTGGGTGTTATAAATTACCCATGCTTCCCACTGTCCCCCTTCATTTTGAAGAAGTATCCAAACCTTTACACCACTACAAAAAGTCAGCCAAAGTAGGCTTCTAAGAAAATGCCTTAACTTTCTGAAAATAATGCTTTATATATTAAAGAATGTTGGGCAATTTTCTCCACTAGCCCCTCAGTGTTTCATTATTTGTCATGTGAGGAGATTAGGAAATATGTTTTTCTGATTTAAATTAAGTTTAAGGGCTGTGGGGTTAGCTGTCAACACATAGACTCAATATATTCTTTATTGCAAGCTCAAACATCCTGTTGGCCAAGTTTTCTATTTTGAAAGTTACTGCTGATTCTGTTCTGTAGAACTCAGGGACCAAACACTTAAAATGTGATTGTTTAAAAGAAGAAAACCATCTGAATGATTCTAATTAGTTCATTCACTAAACACTCCATTTTTCCAGCCCAATGAAAATAAGAATTGAAACGAATTAAACTACCACAGGTACATACCCTAGATTTTTGCTTAGCTGTCATCTCGGTATATATGGGTAGTATTTATGTGTTCTTAAGATGATCTGTTTCAACATGGCAGTAGTAATAGTTCAGATGTCCTACCTTGACCCTCTCCTCCTCACTCTGCTTAAAGGGATCCTGTTCTTTTCTTACTGGGAGAATGCACCATGGGAACTAACATAGAGGGAATGCCTGCGTTTCCCAAAAATCTTTGTCAGAGGTTTTAAAATATATTGCTAGAAAAATGAATGTAAATGAATTGACTTTAATTCTCATCTGGAGAAGAAAACAGTATCTCTCTTCAGGTCATGGTTACCTTGGCTTCTTACCCTTTGTTTATGTTCTAGAATTATAGCTAAGAGAAAAATGCATCATTTAAAATAAACTTAGTGATACACTAGAATTTGTAAGATTTCATTTAGGCAAGAAAAATACAGGAAGTGTTTTTCGCATTATGATTATGATGAAAGTATAGCAATTTGACTTTGATGATATTATTCCCTACATATTCCATATATTCTTATGATCGCCACTCAATAGCATGGAAGAGGAACACACTTTTAAACATCCACATTCTTATCAACGTCATCTATTTGTTCACTCAATAGGTTTTTATTAAGATCTTCCATGGGATGCATAGTCTTTTGTCTTGATGAAATACAGAGCAAAGAGGACATATTTGGCCTTCTGGAGTTTGAGAATGTTACTACTGTATACATTCCGTTTAATAACAATGACCTTCATGGTTACTGAAAACCTGCTTTTCTGGTGCTCAGAAATGCCATCATCTTCACAAATAATATAAAAATGTTATACAAGACAGAAACAGATCTGACTTTGGGTATTCATCTTCAATCTAGAAGACAGTGCCCTTACTTTGGGAGGGAGTGGACATGGAACATTTTCTCCACCTTACCCCTCCCAGGAAGACTCCCTTGAGTCAGCCAAAGTAGGCTTCTAAGAAAATGTCTTAATTTTCTTGAGGAACACATGGAAAATATTGGTTAACATCTGAATGGAAATGTGCTCGGCCTGTGGAATGCCTTAAGGACCCTTCACATAAGTTGACCATCCCCAGATTTAAATAAGAGGCTTAATAGGTTTAAGGGAGCTTTCTGAATTGCGACATTAGTTGCAAAGCAGTATTTTCAACATAAAGTAGGACTTTTATTGGCAAGAGGAACTAGAGAAATGGCTATATGCTTAGTATTTTGGCTTTTAATCCATGGTTTTGAATCATTGTAGAAATGACCTGCAGTCAAGTCCCTACATTTTATTACTGTTCATAATACCACAGAGACACAGTCTTAATAAAGCTGACTCTCCAAAGCTTAATTCTTTGCATATTTGGGAAATGGCTGTTATTTAGCTGTTGTGATTACCTTCTTTGTTATGGTTCTAAGGACCCCAGCCACTTTGGAAGCAGGCAGCTGACTTCACTAGTGATGTTTGCTTACACTGCTTAGTTGAAAGTCTTCACCACATAGTGGCAGAGACACAGAGACTGTCAGAAGGTATTGGAAAGGACCACTGCATACTTTCCCCCTAAAGATTAGCTTGTAAGCCTTTGAGACTATGATACCAGCTTGATCTTGTTTGAATGACAGCATTAGAAAAACTCAAAAATCATTAAAATCTTTCAAGGCTTCTTGGTTTCCTCTACAAATGATGGCAGTTGTAGAACAATTCAAATCTATGCAGTTTTATGTTGCAAATAAGGTATTTATGCTTGCTATTACTAGCATTCTTTTTCTCCATTTAATAATAAAATAATCTGATTTATAGATGATTCATAAACTCTCCACTCTACTTGTTTTTGTTTTCATGAAAAGTTTAAATTTTGATTCACTAGCGTGAATATTCACCTTCACATACATAGTATGATACCCTTTCAAGGACAATGAATCTGAAAACAGCATCTCAAAAGAAATCTAAAATGAGCTGGCTGTGTTGGCATGCAGCTGCAATTCCAGCAGTTGGGAGGTCAAAACTAGAGGACTGCCAGTGGGAGTCCAACCTGGCCTACAGAGCAAATCTGAGGCTATCCTGAGCTACACGGTGAGCCCCTGCCTGCCCCAAAGGGGAGACAGCGGGAGAAGGGCAGGAAAAAGAAGGGCTCGTACATAGCTTATTGGTAGAGCCTAGTTTGTGAAAGGCCTTGGATTTGATCCCAAGCACCACCAAAAAAGAGAAGACAACAGGACAGGAGAGATTTATACTCAGTCTTGTTAGGCAGCTAGTGTTCATGATGAGTAATGCCATCAGTTCTGGGAAACCGCCAACTGGGCCAATAACTAGAGAAATTCTCACATACTATCCCTAAAAGTTTTTGTAGATATGGGGGTGGAGGGACGCTTCAAATTATGTATTCCTTTTTATTTAAATTACAGTTCTCAGGGATGGCAGGATGGCTCAGAGCACAGAGCACTTTCCAGCAAACAGAGTTCAATCTCCAGAACCCAAGTAAGAGTGAAAGGAGAGCAGGGACTCCACAGGGTTGTCCTATGACCTCCACAAACATAGCACGATACACTCACACCTATACAAACAGATCACACACACACACACACAACACACACACAAATAAAATAAAATTAATTTTAAGAATACTTAAAATTGCAATTGCTGCGGACTGGAGAGTGGTTAAGAGCCCTGGCTGTTCTTGCAGAGGACCTGGGTTCCTAGTTCCCAGCACCCACATAGTGGCTAACAACCATCTGTAGCTCCAGTTCCAGAGGATGTGATGCCCTGTTCTGACCTCCCAGGGCATTGCACAACTCCGGTGCACCTACCTACATGCAGGCAAAACATTCATAAAAATAAAAATAAACTAATAAAAAATAAATTAATAAATAAGCAATGCAGTTGCTAGAAATTCTAGCTTCCACATATAAAATACCCACACACTCAATGATTATTTTTCACTGTGAATTTTTAGGGTGCTCAGCTCTTAGGACAGTTCACATTTGTCTCCTCACTGGCATGTACCTTTCTGTTCTTCCAAAGTTGCGAACTGACTGAGTCACTTGACATGAAAGTGTAAACGGGCATCCCTTGTACGTTGCAGACCTTTAATGCCTGAGGACTGCAAAACTACCATTGCGCCTGCGCAGACCCTGAGCTCCGAGTGCTCCCGGCTCTGTCGGAATGGCTACTACACCCCCACCGGCAAGTGTTGCTGCAACCCAGGCTGGGAGGGCGACTTCTGCAGAACCGGTGAGCATCTCTACTGTGTCCCCCAAACCCGGAAATGGAATAGGCCTTGGACACTTGAGACGTTAGCATCCCTTGTTTCTTCTAGAATCATCTAGCGTGCGAGTGTTTAGCCCTTGACGTTGATATCCGTTTCTGAATTTATGAATGAAATCGTTCCTGTTTTAATGTAAGCCATTCGCTTATGTAAGTTCACATAAGCATAAAGATCTTTCACTGTCTGAACCCTTTCAGAAAGGACAGAGCAGACAGCTCGCCGCGGTCGTCTCCGTGGGACTCCGCGCTGCCTTCGGTGACTGTCTGCCAAGCCCCTCACCGAGGGCTGGCGCTTTCCAGACACCCCATAAACGCCCTCTGGCTTTCCCGCTTGCTTTTTAGCTGTGGCACACTAGAAACAGGGCTTTTCAGCGGGTGTCACTAAATAAAAGGGGAAAATGCAATTATCTAGACGCATATTATGAGACTTTTAAATTCTGCTTGCCAGCCCCCCGTGACCCATCAGTGAGGTGCGCAGCTGCTCAGCGGGAGCAAAGGCCAGTCATTCAGGGTTATTCTAGCCCCTCGTGTGAGATTTCCTCAGTCTTGTGCAATGTTAAGTTCTAACTGGTGTGAGGTAAGAAAGTTGGAGAAATTTAGAAACCTGGAGTTTAAGATACAGTTAAAATACAGGTTCAAAAACAAGCGTTTAGAGATCTGTTACTCAGAAACGGTTTTGAGCTCTGCTGTTTCACACGTTAAAGTACCACCTGCCACTAAAAATCAAAACTCAAAATTAATATTCAATAGTATCCTTAACTCATTCTTTAAATTCTAAAAATGTATTTGTTTCAAGTAAATTACAGCCATAACTTGTTTAATCTACATATTGCCTAACAAAAATATCAGCACTTGAACTGATACAGACAGTGCAGTGTAAGGTTACATTGCTTCAGTCATTTGATCCCGTGCTGTAGCTGCCTAGGAGCTGGCAGACATAGTTAGAACTCAACAGAAATTAAGTCATTATTCAAAACAAGCACACACACTGAATTGGCCCAGTCTGTCTCTTTTTTGTCAGCTGATCGAAAATTAACTATCAATATTCAAATATAACAATATTCATATATTTACTATTCCGTCCCTCCCCTTCCTTTGGTGTCTGACAATAGCTATTCTCTCTGTTTCTTCCAGATAGCATGCACTGTGTTGGATTCCTTCTTCTTTGCCTAACCTCTAGGCCACCTCAAAGAACTCCGTAGCACATACTTGTTGAGCGCTGAGTGGCATCATGCTTAAATTAAGGAAGAACAGACTATTTTGGGTGCTGGGGTGCTACACATATCTTAATAGATATTAATAAAAGAATGTAATCAAATGAAACCAGACATTCTTTGATTAACTTTTTACTTCAGTAAAATATTTTAATCTTTCCAATTAAAATTTCTTTCTTCTGATCAAATTTAAATATTTTCAATACACGAGAGGAAACAAAAGAACGCTATAAAGGTAACATGGGACGTTCTTGACTCAAGCAAGAGTTTTCTTTGTATACCCAGAGGATATGAGCATCTTCCACAAATTTGAAAGGGAAAATACTGTTTTCTTCTTTTTCTTCCTTTTCCAAGGGTCAGCACCAGAACACTTTTGAATAGTGGTTTTGAAAATCCAAAAATGGTCCCAACCCCTCAAAGTATAAGAAAATGTATTCAAAGAATTCAATTGTGTTTATAATGGCCCCACCCCAGACTTATCAAAAAATGACACTTAATGTACATACCAAATTAATGTGCATCTTATTTTAGCAGTAAATCTTTACATTCCCTGCCTCTTTAATGAAGAGATATTGTGCTGTAAAATAGCCCTGAAAGTATTGCTCAAAACACCCTCTGCCAGCCTCTTGCACTCAGCCCTGGAAGGGGCTTCATGCTTAATCAGACAGCAGCATGTTCTGCATGCCCCCAAAAGCAAAGGGAAGCAGGGGCCCTAGGGAGACCAGATGGTTCAGCTTGCATCCAACTCCAATCCCAAACTGACCTTTTTCTTCAGTGTCACATTGGACCCGCTCCAGCCAGTGGTCTCCTCCTCAAGCTGGCCTCACCCTCGGTGAGGCCCTACCCTGGAGGAAAGGGAACATGGAGCTTGTCTGTTGAAATGCAGGCACAGGTTTTGAAAGGATTGGAGTCTGTTAGAGTCAGTTCCGCCAATCATTGAGATAGTTTCTCATGATCTCTGCTTCTCTCCAGCTGTCTCTCATTTTCAGCTGGGTTCTTGCTCCGAAAAGCTGTATGTCCAAAAAGTTTCCTTCTGCCTGTAGTCATCTTTCACATCTCCCTCTTGCTTTTCTTACCTTTCCTTATCCGTCAAATATTTATTGATTTCATACATAGTATCATTTTTGACATAAAGATTGAGACTACGATGCTGTTTTCTTTCTCCCAGCCAAATGTGAGCCAGCCTGTCGTCATGGAGGTGTCTGCATCAGACCGAACAAGTGCCTCTGTAAAAAAGGATATTTTGGTCCTCAGTGTGAACAAGTGGACAGAAGCATCCGCAGAGTGACCAGGGCAGGTATTCTTGACCAAATCATTGACATGACATCATATTTGCTGGATCTCACAAGTTACATTGTATAGTTTCTGGGACTGTTTGAATATTCCATTCCAATGGGCATTTATTTTATCTTGTCATTAAAAGAAAGACTCTCATTTTGCTACACACTGCTGGTGATTTCATTTTCTTTTATTAATTTAAAAGCAATTTGGAGGAATGTGCAGATCCTCACTGTGTATGTTGACAAGGTTGTCCGCATACACAATACGCACCCATACCCACAACCCCTAAACTCTTGGTTGCATAACAGATGGGTTTCTAAAATATACACTTCTTTGTGTGGAGTCGTTTACATAGACGCTCCATTGCAAATTGACCACAGAAGTTTTATGCATCAGAAGGTCTTCTTTACTTCCAAGGAATTTTCTGTCTGTAATTACTAAAGTCAACTTTAATGGGGTGTTGAAATGTTATTGTGCAATCTGGTGGATCTAATAAAGAAGGAAATATTTTTTATATTAAAGGTCTATAATAAGAGAGTCTGTTTCAGAACTCCTTGATGAATTTCTTAATGTAAAATTGTAATCTTCATTTCTATCAATGTATCCAATTACAGAATGTTGCACGCTTACCTTTTAATTTGGAAGAGCAATCTGGTTACTTCAGCTTAATCTCAAGATTGTTTTCAAAGGTTTTATAATTAAATCATAACAGCCTATTTGAAACATCAATATTTCTGAAAGGATTTTGCTTCTGCTGTATATTTTATGTAACAGTAGGCACTGGGTTTGTGTTACATATTTATATTTTTATTTTATTTTTATAATACAGACATCACCTAGATGAAACACCTTTACCCTGTCCTGTAAAATACTAAAGTTACCTTTTTCACCCACTTAATTGGAAAGGAAGGGAATGAGAAAGCAGTTTTAATGTCCTGTGGATCTAATCTGGCAGTGTATCCTTCTGCCAACATGTAATCATTCACGTCGGATGAAAAAGCAAGAAAACAGCCAGCCCTGATAAAATTCCAGCGTCATAACACTGGTAAAGTGCCTTTCACCATAGCAAAACTGTCAGAGTCTATGGGATCAGAATACGGCATGCTAAATCAGCCCTCGCCGGTGAAGAGCTCACTCATGTGTAGCCAATCCTGGCTGGGGATAAGCTGTCACTTGTATAATTTTCTAACATCATCATTCTAGCCAAATCTGACTTTTAATACATATGTTCCTTCAGAACTCCGTGAAAGTACTCTTTGCTTCACGTCTCAATAAATTTTCTATAAATGTTCTTTTCAAATTTTTGAAAGAAATGACATATTCTAACTTCACATTACAAAAGAGTCTGACAGACATTTTTCTTAATGGTTTTCCAGGCCACCTCTCCACATATAGATTTTAACAAATTATATGGCCTTTTGTACTACTGACACCTACATGACAAGCACACACCCTCTACAGTAACATCCTCTCTTCTGGGATCCAAACCGTAGGATCACATCGATTATGCAGTACTGGCTGACTTTCCAACCCTGTTCCTTTATGAATATAAGCCTTAATTAAAAAAAAAATTCCTAGAAGGGATGTCTCCATTGGTTTAAAGTGAGAGACTTGCAATTAAAGCATGGTGCACATTTCTAAGGAAAGTACAATATAGAAAGATTGGTTAAGTCTGCTGTTCTTGTCTTCCATATATGATTACTCGGGTTTCCAGTGACCTCATACCAAATGGAAATTGGTTGAGAAATCTTGGTTCAGTGCTTAGTGAACAATAGCCTGCATTAAAAAGTGCATGCATAATTTTGCACAATTTAGATTGAACTGACAGTCTATTCAAAGAAGTCTCAGGATTCAATGAGCATGGAGACCAGATTGCCCTCTTACCCCAGAAAAGGGTGGTCCCTTCTAATCTCACTACACTTCATTGGCCCAGCAGTGTGACCAATCTTGCAATGAACCATGCAGTAGCCTGCATCTGTAGGTTAATAGCAATCTTTTGTCTCCGTGGCTTTCTCTTCATAGCCCTTTTACTGAATTCCATCACAGAAAGTTTTACAATTAAAAAAAAAATGTCCTGACAACCACCTTTGCAAACAAACCTTACCATCCAATCATCCCTTATTCAATGTGGGTGACATTAACAGAACGTGAACTTCTTGTGAAGGAGCCAGCTGTCTAAATCTGTCAAATTGTACAGTTTTGTTGCAAATATCCCCATCCGTAGATTGAGTGCAAACAATAGGAGGACTCCTTAAAAGTCAGTAAAATCTTTAAAATCAAGTGCCACTTCTTACATCGTTAATCTTTCTATCTCTTCCCCAAAATAAAAGGTGCTCAACAGGGTTAGTTCTGCTATCTTGAATAATCTATCCTAACCTAACCAGATCTACATTTTTATATAGCCCCTTCCAAGTAAAACAGTTTCAGGTGACTTAGGAAAGCTTATGAACCCCGGTGTCTTTGACTTTCCTACAGTGAGTCGTCATAATGAAGCAACAAATTCTTTTTAAAAGAAGATAATATAATCCATGGATATTTAACCCAAGAAAAGAAAGTAAAGTCACGAAATGCTTTCCTTCTGTTCTTAGAAGAAAAGTAGACAGCAATGGCAAATGGGTGACTGTGTGTTTTAAACTAAGAGACCAATTCAAAGAATCTGTCCTGTTCTTTGAAGTAGAGTTTGTAAATGTATGACTGGAGAATTCTCTTCAGTGATTCATGGAGGCAGACAGGAGTTAGTTAGAACATGCAAGCTAAGGCAAACTAAGTGTTTCACCACGTGACAGACAAAAATCATCCAGCTTTTATAGTATACAGTCTACAGAGGGCGAAAGATGTCCTTTATGTGAATTTTAATGCATATGATAAAGAAGAAATAAAAAATGAGTATTATCCTCTGGCCATTCTGGAGCTAGAGCATTCAATATCAACTGAATGTAAATTGATACTGAGATCGTTTTAAATAGGCAGAAATAACCTTCCTACCACTGCTGCCACCAGACTTTTGCCCTGATTCACAGTACCTTGGTTTCTTAACAGTTATTAAAGACCCTGGGATGAAAAGTAAATTGACAGGTCATTAAAGTGAAAACAAGGAAGGATTTAAGAACGTCAGGTGATGGCTGTAGAATTTGACTTTAATGCAGGTATTGGAAAATATTTCACAAAGTTTCCTCAGAAGTTTTCAGTTTAACCGATCAATTTCATGAAAGAAGGGTAAAGAAATCTACATGTATGTACAAAATCTAGCTAGAAAACTGTTCTGTCATTTACCTGCCTCTGAGTAGTCACTGCCTCCCTAATTGTTTATTCAAAAACTAACAGAGTGATGTACTGACCAGTTTTAGTACATTTGTTTTTTATATTGCTTTGATCTCTGAATCACAAAGTACACAAGACTCCTAAGGGTATCAAAATGAGGTCAGATGCTACACTTATCAAACCACACATTAATCTAAGTCCTTATGAGTTTCTCTTTTGTCTCTAACATGTAAAAGAAACCAAGTTTAAGTTTTTAAGAGGGAAAAAAGTAAGTAGACCACCGGAAGTCTTAGTCTGAGCACCTAAGACAATCTGCACCCTTCCCCTCCCGCCTCTGCACCCCTGCCCGTATCTCTCTACATGCCTCTCTTCCCATCTCCTCCTCTTCCCTCTCTTAAATCTTACGTTTCTTCTAACTAAGAAGATACATACTCTGTATGCTCTTCGTGAAAGTGTCCTGGGGCAGGCAGCTGTGAATTTTACTGATTATGGGATTTTTCTTTATTTCTCTGAAGAATACTCTCTTTTGCACATTGACTCAGGTGCAGTAGCATTAAGAATAGAAGAGAAATAACACATCAGATTGATCTCCTCCAATCACCAAACGATACGGTGAAAGGCACGCATACCCACCAGTGCAGGTGTTCTATGCCCCTCTTTTACCAAGTCAGGAGCGATGAGGCAAGCCACCCCAGCCCAGAGCTTGACTGTTCGCCTTTTCCTACCTAAGAAACAACTTTAAAAAAAACTATTCTAAATCTATGAGGAAAAAAAATAAATAGTTCCTCAATGGTGATGACGTTCGAACCTTCTCTTCCTTGTAATGAGGTTTGAACTTGTAGAGCAGTCAGAACAAAGTCCTATGCCCAGAAAGTATGCATGTTTCTTTATTACCCCTAGTAACTGATGGAACTGATTCTGGGGATCCTGATGGAAATCGCTGTTAGAAATTTCCTCTTCATGTATTTGAGACGTGTTTGCTCTCTGATCTTCTTTGTCACACGAGCACAATTGATCACACGTCAGATTATTAATAGGATATCAAACAAGGTGGGAAGCCCAAGGATAGAAGCATTTAGATATTAAAAAGATGGTCCTTCCAAATACAAATCCCAGCCAACTTGTACCATTCCTCCTCTTACCATCTCCTCTGAGTCACTTTTGAAAATGGACTTCAGATAACTTCCTAGGACAGTGAGATGGGGGTATTCTTGGGAGTATAAAGGAGTGTTTCTTTCTTCTCAGTCATAGTGATGTTTTCCAGAAGCTCTGGAGAGATTTTTTTCATTTATGAGATTAGCATATTCTTAAATCCTTATTAAATATGAACCCAAGATCCTTCTGTCATTTGCCTTGCCTTCCCAGAACACTTGGATAGGACACAGATCGCCCAGTTGAAAAATGGAAGTAATGGATCCCTGGCATCAAAAGCCTTATGCCTAAAACCTGTCAATTTTTTTTGTCAGAAAACAATGACATAAAATAATGCTACAACTCAGCATTCATTATAAGAGACTCTCTTGTGTGCATCAAAAGCAAAACATCATTATTAATTCTGTTTTCTTTTTTTGAATATGGACATTATATTAGATTCAAAATACATGTCTACATATACTGTCAAGTTAACATACATGAATGTGGCATGTTTTCTCAGTTGACTGTAATCTTCTAGGTAAAATGATAATATTTTAGTACATAAAATGTAGGAAGAAGTGAGACATAGAAGGTGCTGGGAAATCCATAATGATCAAAGACAACAGAAGCCTTTTCTTCACAGTTAGAAATTCATTCTTGAATATTTTCCCCCATACTAAAAATTAGCTAGTCAGTAGTCTCCATTCATTTGATTAGGTTTGATATTGTCTGAGCCAAAAAATGCA